ACACTTGGGTCAACTCAAATTAAGCAAATCTGCCAAACCAACTTAATAGTCTCTTAATAGGCCTACCCTAAACCTATGGCAGGAGTGCGAAAATCGGATTAGGATCTGGAACAGCATCGCCGGAGGAGAGTGTACTAGGCAAGCTAGCTAAATAACTGTGGGACAGTACTTCACAGCAAATCGAACTTTTCTCACAGTGGATTTAGTGACGTTTCGTTGGGAACTAAATATCCCCAACCCAGGTTCCTACCTACCGTGCCTCATTGATGAACCGGTGCGTGTCTTCCCAGTGCGTCAGCAGGTCAGCCTTTTCATCGTCGAAGACGCGAACGTTTTTGTAGGTGAATCGAGAGGAGGGGAAAAAGTTGTCCACCTCACGAGTAACATTGATGATGTGCGTGACGTTGTTCTGCTGAAGCTCTACTCCATTGGAGGCATTGAAACTGCTGCCCAGCAGAAGGTGATCAAAGATGACAGAGGCAGCATCCATCTGGCCGTAGATGAGGAGGACTTGATCGGCGATGAACTGACGCTGCTCCTTCAGGGAGATGCCCATCTCCTTCTCCAGCATCTCTCGAAGCTGTCAGGCGCGGAGGGGGAGGGAGGAAAATAATGGAAAAAAGGAGGCAACGAAGGAATCAGATGGGCGACACGGAACGTAAGAAAACAAAAGGAAACGGTTGTAGATGGGTAAGTAAAACCACATCTCTTTCTAGTGTAAGCTCGCCGTTTTGCCCCCCGCCCCCATAACCTAAGGTCTGCTCCTTCCTCGTATGAATTAGCGTACCGAAACCAACTTCTGCGTCCTTTCAACATTCCCTGGTCACAAATGATAAGGTTCTTATTCTGTTCCTCAAACGAAATTACTTTTATTTAATAATAAAAAACAGCCTAATGGTGTAGTCACGATCAGCGTTTTAAAGAACTTTTTAGCCACTGGGGAGCTTGCTAGCCAAACTCGCCAGGAAGAGGTACATCCGCCTTATTCTGACCTAATACCAGGGAGCCTTATCTCCTCGACTCAAACTCATTTCTGTTTTCCGTAGGAAACTGGGTTTGAATTCTCAATCTGATATAAAAGAACTGCCGCTTTTGACCGGCCAGTAATAAGATAAGTTTAACGACTTTTTGAATATCCACTCAAGATCATCTTCATCGTCGTCACAACCACACCGCAAACATAAGCAAGTAAGGCCACCTACAACCCTCTCTGTTAATTACGCAGTCCACAGAACCCCTCTCCCCCCTCATCATTAGCGTCACTAGCCGCGAACCCATTTACGGGGTGCATAACTCCACCTTTGGTTTCATGGAAGAAGGGGAAATGTGCACAGCCCAGCAAGACACAATCAACAAAAAATTATCGAGGCAAACACATACACACACAATTGCAGAACTACCTCTCAGTGCTAGATATGGTTCATTGCCCGCATAGCACTGCGTTGCTACAGATTTACTCTATTAGGTTAGATCAAAGGAGTCGGGCACTGTTGCTTTTATTCAGTGATAGACCTTCAACGGTTTTTGAAAGCCTGAGCGGTTGTTGCACCGACAACAGTTAGCGTGGGTGGTGGTTGTCTGACTGAGTGTCGATGACGCAAACAAGCCTGGCGGTGGCTCTGCGATAGACGGTGAAGCAAGGTAGAGAAGACGAATGTGCGCAGGCTGGAGCCTTACTGGAGTACCAGAAAACGCTATATCCGCAGTAAACCACGTAAGGATAAATTGGCGAATCCGTATGGTCGGTGGCAGAGGGGATGATTAGGTGTAGTGCCCCTTAAATGGAACGCGTGGTAGATGTGCTGGGCCAACACGGGGGCCAGATAATGGTACGGAAAGGGTTAATCGCGTTGGGCTCCCATAAAAAATGCCGAACATGGGGAGGCGTGGTAGCACGCGTATGTGCAGACTCACGCCGCATCAGCCACCTGCGTCCGATTCCGTCTCCGGCCTTCCTGACTGTGTCTTGACACAGAAGTGAGTGTGGCAGATGCAGCGCAAGTCTACTATCACTTAAAACTAATCCAC